CCTCATTCCACAGAAGTCCTGCCCTATATACAGAGAGCAAGAAGAATCTGAACAAACAAGCCTTTCTGAGTTCCCCAAGTTTGTTATCATTCGACCATACGCTTTTGTCCTGCAATTACCGTTCTATATAAGCAACCATAAAATATTCAGCTTTCACTGAATCTATGGTCCTCTTTCTAAAAGACCCCATGTTAAATAAAACTTTAGTTAAATAGATTTGTTATACTTTTATCTTGTTTATCTGTCTTTTGAGATAGGGGTGTCAGTCATGAACCTTGTGATCAGTGAAAAAAAATCATCTTTTCCTCCCCTATGTTCGTTTTCCAGTTTCACTGTCATCACTCTTCCCTGATCTTTCTACAACTGTCCTGGCTATGCTGACTTAGTGTTATGGTTTGTGTCTAGATGTCCCCCCAAAGCCTCATGTGGTCATAGGCTAATTTGGAGATGGCTAAATCCAGAGAATATGATGCTGGGATAAAGGGTGTGTGATTACTAAACCACTGAATGTGAGTGACTGGTTTGGCAATGCCCTAATCCCAGTAGTCTGAATGGGATAAAAGGAGCAGAAAGACGCTGTTAAGGTCTCTTGTTACTTTTGCTATATTGTATGTGCCATATTGTTTCTCCTCTCTAATACCTGACTGTCATCCATTTTGCCTTGGAGCCAGCCAATTATGGACTGAAACCTCCACAAACTGTAACCCAAATAAATCTTTCCCCCTTTAACCTTGGGTGTCAGATATTTTGTCTCAGCAACAAGAGAAAAATAACTAACATATTCAGCCTTCACAAAGACTTCTTCCTTTTCTACCAAATCATAGACACTGGAGCTCTTTAGGGTTAAGTTTTTGGACCTCTTCTCATTCCATAGTTCTTTCCCAGGTGTCCAATCTGTTCCTATCACCTTGGTTATCATCTGTATGTCAACAATTCCTTAATAGTCTTTTCTAACGCACACCTCTTTTCCTAGACTCACTCAATGCGTTAAATGGTTATGTGACATCCTCACATGGAACCTCATAGGATTTTTCAACACTGAAATAAATATATTTTTTTCTTAAATCTTCTTCTCTATCTTTCTAAATAGAACTGTTCATTCAGTTGCCATATCAGTAATCAGGAAGGCAATGTGACACCTGCTTCTCTGACATATAAGTGGTAGTTCAGCCCTGCCTTCCCAACAGCTAAGAAATATGTTGAGTTTCACAACATGTTTTTCAACTCTCTTGCCATTAACTAGTGCTTAAATAATACTGCAGGCTTTTTTTTTAAATCTTGCATCCATCCGCCTCCCTCATTCATGAAAATCTTTTCAGATTACTCTCTGGTTTAAAGTTCTTCCATTTTCTGAAGATCAAGTTTAAAAGCACTAGAATGGTTTCTAAGATTCTGCATGATCCAACCACTGCTTAATCCTTCAGTCTCATTTCACATAAATCTTTACATGATTCTCTGCACTTCAGCCACAATAAACTTTCAGTTTCTAAAATTAAAAAAAAGACTCTCCTTTCTTGGAGAATTTGCACATCCTGTTCCTTCCACCTAGAATATCTCAGGTCTGCCTGCTATGGTTTTTGGGTCATGCACAGGTGCACTTGGCTGCAAATAATAGATTAACCAATGGCAATGGCTTCAGCAATAAGTGCATTTAATATCAATTATCTCATATAACAAAATATCTGAAAGTAGGCCCTCCAAGATTGGAGCAACATTTCAAAATTATTCAAGACCAAGACTGTTCCTTTTGTTCTCTGCCTTTTTGGGCATGTTCATGTGTCCATCTAGGGTCATTGCCTTGTGGTCACAGGTGGCTCAGAGATCCACACTACATGTTCTGATATATTACATTTAAGTCAGAAAGAAGAAGAGTGGTCAGCTATTGTGGGTATCACTTCTGTCAGAGAGGAAAATCTCCCTAAAATGCCTTTATTACATTCCACGTCTTCATCCTGGCCAGATCTGTGCCTTATGGTGAATGAGACTATTTCAGTGCCTACTGGGAAGAGAACAAAAAGAGGAGAATGGAATGCCTGTGGGCTCAGCAATCAATAAAATATGACGTCTTCAGTGTGTTTATCAAAATTGCAATGAAAGAATGAAATATGTACATTTGCTCATTTTCTCTCTGTGAGATTATAAACTCTTTGATGATGGAAAATATATATATCTCATTCACTGCTGTAACCCTAGAATCAGCACATCTACATAAATCAGTGTTGGCTAAAGAATAAATGAGTGAATATAAAGGGGAATGATACAAGCAGAAAACAGATACAAAAGAGACAGAAAACTGCCAATATGTTTAAACGTATTAAGCTGATTTCCATACCTCATATTTCATGGGTCAGCATATTATTCCATTTAACTTGAGAAAGGTATTTTCATTAAAACATTACCAAACTTTTGAAGTGCTCAATTCCTTGCAGAATGAATATAATTCTCCTAACTTCTTAATTCCTGCTATCCATACACACACAAGTATCATTGCCATTGAGAACCAGGAATGAATTATTTAAAAAATAAAATCTATTTTGTTTACTTTTCAAAAGATAACTCAGTTTTATTGATGATTTCTATCCTTCTTCCCATCTCTATTTCATTTATTTGCAGTCTTACCTGTATTATTTCTTTCATATTCTCTTAATAGTTATATTCTCTTAATAAATTGACCCTTTTTTCATTATGTAATGAACCTCTGCATTCTAAGAAGAAAAGAGACTTAAAAAAATATAACAAATGAAACAGGAGACAGTAGTACCAGTATCACAGGTGTACAAAAGGAGTCTGGGATGATTATAAACAATTATCTGCCCACAAAATAGATAACCTGGGCAAAATAGATAAATTTCTAATACCTAAAACCTACCAAGACCTCATTCTGAAGAGAGAATCTGAAAGACCAGTCACAAGTAAGGAGATTCAATCAATAGAAGAGTTTCCACTGAAAGAAAAGCCCAGAATCTGTTTGCTTCACTATTCAGTTCTCCACACTTAAAAACATGGTTCTCAATGCTTCTGAAACACTTCCAAAAAATCCCTGAAGACTGAATACTTTCAAAGTCATTTTACAAGGACAGGATTACATTGGTACCAAAAACAGACAAGAATACTATCAGAAAAGAAAATTAGAGTCTTCCTATTTCACATTATCAATTATTCATTTTAATCCTTATTTACACTTTCAGTTTCTCACATCAGAGAAACTATTCAGTATTTATTCAGGGTAGGGGAAGTGGGAGGGGTAGGGGAAAGGAAAGTAAGGAAAGGAAAAATATGACAAAAGGAAAAAAATGGAAACAAAGCCTTGGTAAATAGGGAAGGGTGGAGGGGGTGAAAGGAGCACAGGGAATGGGGAAAAAATAAGAACCAGGATACATCATGTAATGGTACAAGTTCCCAATGATGAATGTAACTGTATTGTATACCTAAAATGTACTAATAAAAGAATTTAAGATTACAAAAAGAAAAAAAAACCTAAAATCTAACACTTGTTAAGGAGTTGTATAAGCTAGCATAATTTAAATTGTTTTAAGTACATGAATGTAAATCAGTTCTTGACTAAATAACTCAAATATTTATTATTCAAGAAGAAAAAGTACATAAAAATTAGCAAGTTATTTAAAAGAATAGTCATAACCCTTTTGTTCTAAATCTTCCTCTCCTGAGAGCAGGGTACCAACAGATTAGTTGTCATTCAGTTCGACTGAATAGAAAGAAAGCAGATGTAAAATTCTTAGTACATAACATATGCTTGGTGCATTTTTGTTCTTGTATCTAGTCCACAAGGAAACTTAGGTTTACACCTATTGCTCATGTTCTAAGTATCTAACTATGGACAAGTTTGTTATGTTCCCATGCTTAAAACTGGCATAGCAATCTAGAGTACTTTTCTATTATAAATAGTCACTCCACAATTTTAAAACTTACATTTAAAAAGTCAAATGCCATTGAATATAGTCAACTTTAACAAACCATTAAGTGCATGTTCATATTTCCAAGAATGTTTATTTCTATGAATACAAAATTTCCTCCTATTTCTGATGGACATTCTGTTTGGTCATGTCAAAAAACACAGGGAATTAACATAAAATATCACCACACTTTAAAAAAATTTTTTAAATATCTACATATGAATGAGTAGATTTCAAGTTTTAAATATAGTTTTCATTTGAAATAAAATTTTTAAAAACAGAAAATGTCTTCAACATTGGCAAAGGGAGTCCCCTAAGGAAAAAAACATACGAGCAGATGGCTGAGAAAGATCACCCACATGCTGAACACAGATCTTGAGGAGGCATTTCTAAGAATGAAGGAGCACTTCCCAGCCTAGGATACATCCCACAGCAATCCTTATTTAACTCATGGAAAACATCGAGTTTGTGCCTCTGACCAGGAAGAACCTGAACCACTCTTGTCCCACTTGCCTCATGGTAAGTGGGTTTCCAGACTGGTTTCCAACTCTCCCCAGGGTACCAAAAAAAGTTAAGTATCAACCACTTGAGACAAGAAATCTCTTGACAAATCATTCTTCCACTACCATTCTTGATCTAACATCTTCCAATATAAACCGGCTGTTAAGCCTTCCCTAAGCATATTAAGCATTCAGTTTAATGTATGACACACATCTGTTCCACTCTTTTAGTGAACAGAAGTTTCAAGATAACTTCAATCCCAGACTTAATCAATGATGAAAAAAAAAACTTTGGCAATGTTTAAAATTGAGTTTTAAAACATAATCCAGACAAGGACAAGAGAGACGACTTTGCTTCAGCTGATGAGATTGTATAAAACCTAAATCAAAGTCACAAAATTACCTGAGCAGAACCACTAGACCTTTTAATGAGCCTATCTCTCTTTCCTTTTAAGACCATCAACATTTACCAAAGACCTTCACATACACCTTTCCTGGAACACCAACAAATAACCAAAAATGGAGCTCTTTACACACATGGCGAGTTAACCCCCTTGATGCCCAAGACCATAAAACAAAGACTCACAGACTTGTCTTTCACAAGTAGAGCACAGCACTGGATTCCAGCCATCAGCATCTTGTGTGGGTTCCAGGCCACTGAATCAGCCCTATTATATTGAACAAAGCAAAGGACAGAGCAGGGAGGGCACCCAGTTAGTTTTTACTGGCAGAGGGAAAACTACCCTGCATTCACATTCAGTTCTCACATCCAAGTTATAGTAGCATAGGAAGCCTGTTTGAGTGGTTCGGAGAATTTGGAGGTGTTTTTGTTTTGTTTTAGCAAAACTATTACTTTGCTTTTGCCTGTTTTCAAAATGTGTCTTGGATGGGAAAGTCCAAAGAGTTGCCTAAATAAAACTCAACTGCAAACTAGAAAACTCCATTTACCTGTGGATGCCATGCAGAAGCTTGCGGTGCTTCCTTGACATCAAAGCTGAGCCACCCCAAGAAGCCTGTGGAGATATTTTTATAACCAAAACAATGTTAATTCAATGTTACTTGTTTACCAATGGGTTGCCATAGAAAACCTTTAGGGACAATTTCAATCTATGTTTTGTGGTATTTTGTTTTATGTTGTGTTAACCCATTTACACTGCAGGGACTTTTGATCACTGGCTATTCAGGCAACCAGAACCTACTCACAGATGTGCCCCACTGACCCTAGAATGTAAATTCATACATTATAAAAAAAAATTGGTGCATAAGCCAAACAAAATTTGTGTGGATGAAAAGCGGTTTAAAAGGTAGAGTCCATATCCTCTTGAAACCTAGAATTAAAAATAGATAAAATCTTCACGATGCTGACATTTTGCCAGACACATTGTATGATGAGTCATGGCTAAAGGATTGGTTCTATACAATGAACGAGGCATATTACTGACAAAGTGAACAGAGGCCATCTGGTATACACTAGGTGAAAATTACATCTTCTCAGCCAAATGCCTTTCAGAAATATTTGCAAACTAAAAGTGGGAAAACGGGACAGAGAAAATTTAGGACTTCAGGAAATTATTCACTGGAGGGATATATTTTCTGATCACAGGAGTGGGTAGCTGGCGAAAAGAAGATGAAAGGAAATCCCATCGTCAATTGGTCTGGAAGGAAGGGAAGAGGAGTCAACGGAAATGCAAGAGTCACTTTAAAAATTGAGCAGACTTCCAAGTTTTAACTTGTAGGACAATGAGAGATGAGAACTTGAGGGGCCTAGCTAGAGCCGTGCTGATCTCCACAGATACTTAAAACTCACAACAACCCCTTGAGGATGGAATTACTATCATCCCCTTTTAACAGATAAACTAAGGTTTAGAAGAGATAAGTAAATTGTTTAAAGTCTCACAGGTAATAAAAATCAAACCTAGTAACCAAAACTCATTCTCTTTTTAAGATATCACACATCATGACTTACTGACAGTGACCACTTGGCCTTGGAACTGAAGGGAACAGAAATTCATCAGGCAATGGACAAGTTCAAGAATTCACTAGGGTATGGACAAAAATACAACTTTTATGAGGGAGATGAAGAACATGAGACATCTCTATGATTCTCAGAGTGGAACCAAAGCTGGATGCACTAGTAGCTAATAAAGTACAGCACAAGCCTCTTTGTGGCCTTAAATCCCATTTTAAAACAACTCTGTCCTTCAGGCCTGGGACTAGACAGAAGTAAGTGACTGATTAGGGTACACAACTTAAGGTCAAACTCTCTCAGTGTTGGATGTTTGTATGGGCCTAAGAGTAAATGCATTTTAAAATTTTAGTCCAAGGACCATCACTGGTCTCACACTAGTTCCAGCCCTGATTCTATAAGGTTCTCTATGGTTTTCCAGCTCTAATGCATCTCTAGGTTGGTGAGGGTGCAAATCACAAAGCTTCCCAGGGAAAGAACTGATGGCTTGGGGTTGTCAGGCAAGTGCCCATCTTGCTGACTCTCTCCCCACCTGGGATTCATGACAGACCCTGTGTGACTATGGGCAGGCTTTAACAACACCCGCCTTTAGCATTCAGGAAAATGTTATCTTGGCCTACTGATTAATGAGCCCCAGATCCAGATTGTGAGATTGTGATTCTTAGATACTAAGATGATTTATATGTTGGGTTCTTCTCCCTTCATCACACATCCTACATACCAAGATCCCTACTTATCACAATGCTTTTATCATTCAACCTTACGGAGAAGCTAGCAGTGAGAACTAGGGGAAGGATTAAACTGTAAGCATTGGCCACCACCATTTATTCTCTTTCCACCTGCCTCATACCCTATGCTTCTACTCCTGTCTGCTCTCCCCTCTGCCTCCTGTTCTCACCCTAAAAGTCAGCATGTTCTCCTAATCCCACTGAGCTAGATTTAAGTTTTAAAATCACACAAACTCTCTGAAGGCATTAGTTCACTGGTTTACAAAGTTGTAGGATTAAGAATAGTTCATTCACAAATTTACTACTCAAAGGAGTTAAATGGAGAAAATAAAAAACAGCCCTTACGTCAACATCCTACTTCTGTTTGCTTCATTCTCTAAATTTCTAACTCAAGAATTAAAAAAAAAAAATCATGAAATTAACCACCTACATGATGTAGGAGCTTAGTTTTATGTCTGTATTGAAGACTGTCATTTATTGAGCTAATATTACATGATAGGCACCACAATATACCACTTTATGTGTTTTTATCAATTAGCTAATTAATAAAGTAATATGAGAAATAATCATGAAATAGAGGTAAAGACAGGAGTGGAATCAAGATTTTGCAACTTCTAAAGCTCATGCTTTGAAATACAATCCTTACAACCTTCCCTGGGTCTTGGTATGAACAGTTTGGAAAAAATAGGAAGCTTTGCAGAATATGTGAGGTTTTACAGGAGCCACCAGTCTCTGGTTCAAAGAAGAGCTGAATCAACTCTGACCTAATCTGACGTAGAGGCTGGAATCGCATTCATTCTTAGAGAGAGAATGATACTGGAAGCAGAAGATCCTCACAAAACTAAAGTTTGTCTTATTCATTTGTTTTAAAATGCATCAAATTCACCAAATTTAAGATAACATCAAATATGAAGTTTAACATTTTATGTATGCTACTGAGAAAAAAAAAAAGACATCATAGTACCACATACCAGTTTCAGAGATGTAAGGATTTTTTAAAAAATGGATCTTATACATTTTAAAGAATCTTTAAGAACTCATTAGAAGATTTCCAAGTAGATCAAAGTAATTGCTGCAATTCTGTTAATATTTTGTCTTTAAAATTGATAAATTGATAAAACAATAAACTTATGAATTTTAAATTTAAATTATACATTAATATACCTATGATATATGAAGTTTCTTCAAGATAAGCTACATACTGCTATAATAAAATCTTATCAACAGATTCAACATCTGCAGTAGTAAAGGATGGGTAAACACTACTCAATGCTAGAGCTTTTTCATTTCTTCAATAGGACAGAGCATCTTATGATAAATGAAATCTAACATTATAGGCATTTTTCTAGATTCCAGCTATATACAAATAGAATATTTTAGTGTAGCTTAAATGTTGCCTTAAAAATCATTTTCTTCTAAAATTCAACCTTTAATTTTTAAAAAATCTAGACAGCTTTTCATTCATACGTACTTATAAATCACAATTCTCTCTAAGTGAAGTAAATCTCTTAATATCATCCCAATTTAAAAACTGCTGTAGTTACTTTGTTTTACATTAACTATATAATCCATATTCAATGTTTCTTTTATGAGAGTAGAATATTTAAGTATAACTGCTGATGCATTTGACTGTTTCTCCTCATTTCCAGTTATGAAAGCATTCACTTCATAATATCTTTTAGAACATAATGTATTGCTATGCTTCTAAGCCTATAAAAATCAATATGATGTAATTTGAAATGGGAACAGATACAAATACTAAAATCCCATTTAAAGAAGTCACAAATAATTTACCTGAAGTATTGCTACTGGGATGCTAATGGAGCCCATAACTCTAGTAAGCTTTATATTACCTGAAGTATTGCTTTTACCAAATATTAGCATACACTTAATGAAAACCTTGAAGTGCTGAAAAATTCTCTCCATATCATATCATAGAAGCTCTGCTCTGAAAGCATAAAATCATCTGAACTGAAAATATGTGTGGGTACCCTCCCTCAGAGTATTTCCTGTCCAGCCAGTCAAAAACTATTTCTTCTGATAAGGAGGATCTAATTCATTCACCTACCTGAGGAAAGTTCCCTAAAGTCTCGTCAGCTTGTACGACTCTCCCTTCTCTTGAATAAAACCAAACAGTTTAACTCCAAGTTTCACAAAACAAAAATAAAAAAAATCAAAAAGCATTCCTGTCTGATTCAACGTTTTAACCCTGAATAAGTACATTATTAAAAGTTACATTTAATTTAAGAAAAAATTCATTATGAATAACCCCAGGTCTTATAAAATTAATTAGAAAGAAGCCATTCTTTCAAGTTAGAAAATTATGAAGAATATAAGTTATCTGAACCCCTCTCAAATCATTATCTATGATAGATCCAGATAAAACCTGCTTTAATTATAGTTTGCAATTATGTTATGCAGCAGTCTTTTTGTATTTTATGGCTGATTGGAATCATATAATTTTAGAGATAGAAGATAAAGACCACATCAGCTATATCCTTCTCCAAGTGAAGAAACTGAAATCCCAAGAGCTAAGATTACAATGAAGAAAAGGCAGGTAATAATCCAAAAACAATGTCTTTTGATGCCATAGTCTAAAATCTGTTCCTGACCACGCTGCCTCAGTGATTCAGGGCACCAAAGAAGATGATTCTTGGGAGAGGAGAAAGTAAAGTGGAATCCGGAAAACTAGATCAAAATTTACTTCATCTTGGATTCTTCTTCTACTTTAATGCTTACATCAAATGACACAGTTATTTCCCCATGTTAGAAATACAACCAAAAGTAGTAGGGGCTTCTCATCTGTTTGCTGAGAGCATGAAAAGCTACAGAAAGATTAGAAAGTTAACAGGATGTGTGTACACTTACGTCCACGTGGAGCCAGAGGCCGTGCCTGTCACAGACATCCGCGATTTCCTCCAGAGGATCGAAGGAGCCTAGCACAGTTGTTCCCGAGGTGGCACAGACAAGAAATGGTGCTGCCCCCTGTGAGAAGGACCCACACACAGAGAATGTCACTGTTGTCACGTAATTTGTCCTGTGGCAGGTTAGTAAATACAAAAGATAAATCCAAAGATTTATATGGATTCTTTGGAAGTAATCATGAATTCAATTGGGTGTTTTAAAAGTTCCACACTATGGGACTGGCCTCTTTCATTACAGACAGGTTAAGAAAACTGAGAAAATGCCATGAGGACAGTCATCTTCTGTCCCAGCTCAACACGCAGCCTCATGATTATTGCTCTCATTTTCTTTCCATAGTATTTTCTGGCTAAAGATGGCCCAGGTAGGAAGAGAGTAACTTCAACGGCAATGGCAAGCTGACATTCTGTATGATTTCTAATTTCTTCCTGAGGAAATGCACCAGGCCTGCATGATGTCAGCATTGTCACCCTTCTCCAAAGCAAAAAGGAATGGGCTTGGAAGTCAAACACCCAGCCAGCTCTGGAGTAAGCCATGGCTGATACAGATTCAGGAAAATTTGAATCGAGGATAAGGCAAACTCACTGGGAAGTGTTCTCTGCATGAGTAATACAATAGAGAAATTCATTGGAATGTGCTGGAAAAGAGCCTGCATCATTCCTACCATGACTGTTCTTCCTTATAGAGATGGTGGCTACATCTTGTAGAGGGATTAGGTGCCAGTGAAAAACAGAGGAGAAAAGGGACACAGTGGAGAACACACAGATGTGAATGGTAATCACAGTCAAGCTAAACAGGCACTTTGGCCCCATGAAGGGACTTTACATCAAGCAGGCAGAGGAAGAGGACAGGAGGCCGTTTCTGAATGTATCAATCCCAATGTGGTGGCAGAGGTGTGTTACTTACTGTAGAAGTGCCCGGTAGGAAAACTTACAGACAAATGTGGGGTTATGGGGAGCAACTAGAATCTAAGGATTCTAGAATACTTGAGGAATAAGTGACCTATGTCACTTTGTTGCCTACAAGTCATTTTACCTCAATTTAGCATGAAGTCATTTTCTCCTCAGTGTTACCGTGAAATGCATTGTTACTGCAACACATTTTTATGGCCTTTGGTGCCAGGGGTGGTTGTGTTTGAACCAAACTCATTCCAATTTAACTGACCTGTGACAGAAAGATGTTATTTCTCAACAGAAAGTGGGACAGAGCAAGAACACTTGGTCCCACATCTCCAAATTGAGATGCACAGGAATCAAAGTGGTGGTACATAATGAATCCAGTTGCCATTTTGGGAGACAGCTGTGACACAGAGAATTGGGTCTACCCCAAACCTCTCACAGCCAGGTCAGGAGGTGACAGAGCCCCTAGGGAACCGTGGGCTTTGGAAATTCTTCCCTGTACTCAACCACAACACTTTAAGTCTTTATCATGTCAGTGACCTAAATGAAATGAGAACAGATTGACATCAATCATTAAGAGGAACAGAAAAAGTAATTTACTAAAACTGTTTAAGGTGTCTGGTGGTTGGGCTTTCCCTCATAAATGACATGACATCCTGACAGTTGTAAGAAAATACCTATGCAAGCTATTATAGCCTATTAATGAGATTTTCTCACCTCTTAAAAACTCTTATCTTATATTTATATATCAGGCCTAGATATTAAACTTTTGCAATCTTCCATATATTTTTTTCTTCCTCATGCTATTAATGAGAAAGTCTAGTAGAAACAATATTGATTGTATGCTGCCAATGAGCAACAGTCCCTACAAAAGTGTGTGCTTTCAGGTACTCATGCACAAAAATACCTCTGAAATAATCAGTGATCATATCAGCTTGGGCTTCTCAGTAATCACTTTAGGACTTCTGCTACCTTGTGGACTTCACTATCTTTACAATAGCATCAAGGTCATTTTTAATGGTTTGTCAATAGCCAGAGAGTTGATTTTTCAGAAAAAAAAAGTTGGCATACTATTCCCTTCATCTCAAATAAAGAGAGTTAAAAGTTTGAAAGCAATTAGGCCTAAGTTACTGAGAAAAATAAACTATACATCATGTATTATTATCTCAGAACAGGTGCAAGGTATGCTCATGGTCAATCTAGGCTCAAGTATTTGGACTTGAAAGAAAACTTAGGAGATACTCTATCTTTAACTCCATTGCCCTCCTTTGAGGCAATTTTTACTTTTAAAAAATCTTTTTTTCAAACTCCCAACTTTAGAATTATTTCAGCTTCATATACTTTCATTGCCAAAGCAAAAATACTTAAACAAGAAAAACAATGACAGTAGTGAAATAAAACCCACTGTGGTAGGCATATGAATTGTTACTGATACTAAAAGCAATGGGGATTATGTTCAGTGGAGGATATGAAACAAGTCACTATTTTAAAAATTAGTAAATGAGGGGAAAAAAATAAAACATTTATCCTTCCTTGCTTGTCCAAACTGCTTCCTTAGAGAAATCAAATAGGGATGAGGATACATAATTCTTTATAGAAAATATGCCTGCCAGTAAACAAAGAACGAACATGAAAGTGAATTAATTAGAACATCACTTAATGAAATAATGGGTCTGAACAGTGATAGTCAAGGGCAGCATAATCCATGGGTGAGAAGCTGAAGAAGGGCTTTATGGTGCAAGGACTAACAATATCAAACTCCACCCCCTAGTATTAGCTCAACAATAGGCACCGGCCTATCTCTGGATGGAATGATGTAATGCAGCCTTTGTGGCTAAAAACCCAACTTGAATCTCATTTGAGCCTCAAGTTTGAAGTGCCACCTTACAGGAAATGTAGAGAATAGAAAGCCAGTGCTCAGGAGGGGAGCAAATCCATAGTGGACACTACAGGACAAAGGACCTGGCTTCTACAGCATATCAATTTCAGTGGGTAAAAAAAAAAGAGAAGAAGAAAGGTATGGATTAGGAAAGACTTATATGACATATCCACCAAATACAAAGCATTTCAATCCTTACTTGTGTTCTTGTTTGAATCCTTATTTAAATAAGCTAACTATATTTAAAAAGTCAATGGGAGAAATTTGAATATAGACTGAATATCTGATGATATTAAGAAATTACTACTTTTAAAACATAATCCTAACATTATTTTTAAGAGTACATTTTTTTTTGAGACAAGGTCTCGCTAGGTAGTTCAGGCTGGCCTTGAGCTCACTATGCAGCCCAGCCGGACCTCGAACTCATGGCAATGCTCCTGAGTCAGCCTCCTGAGTGCTGCGATTATAAGTGTGTCCCACCACTCCTGGCTGGAAAGAGGACATATCTTTTACAGATACACTAAACTATTTCTTGATCAAGTGATATCTGAGGATAATCTGGGGTCTGGATAATCTAGCAGTATCAGGAAAGGATGGGGTGTAGATGAGAAAGAGAAGGAAAGAAAGAAAGAAAGAAAGAAAGAAAGAAAGAAAGAAAGAAAGAAAGAAAGAAAGAAAGAAAGAAAGAAAG